GCCCGTCCCCGCTATCAGCTTCTCCTCGTCCCCGTCCTCGTGGGGGTCGGTGCTGCCGCTGTTGCTCATCCGATTGCTTGTCCTCGTCCTCTTGGAATCGGCGCCCACATGCCTTGCTGAGAGTGAAGTATTCATAGAGGTTGGGTGGTGTGGGTGCCGCTGCTGCGGCAGTGGTCAGGCGAGTGATGACCTCCAGGCACTCCATGGCCGAGACCTCTTCCATGACGCAAGCGCATCACTGTAGCCGCACTTTGCGCCGTGCCTGAGGAGGGTCTCGATCATGGTGAGGGGCGGACAGCTGAGTGCGGGTCTGCACGATGCAGGCGGTTTCGCACCAAGTCCAGTGGTGTGGCGCCCCAGGGTGGCGCCCATGTAAAGCCGCCCAAGGCTGCTGGTGCCGTCCATGTCTGCTCCCGCGCCACCATCCTCTCCGACGCACTTCTCCGCGGCCAGATGCAGCAAGGAAGCCCAACAAATATTGCGCCTGTTGTAGTACTGCCTGTTGGGGTCGGCCTTCTCTTGCGTCAGCAGCTGGGCTGCTGTGTCATGTGAGAGGGCGCCATGGTGGATGCCGTACGCCAACTCTTTGGTGGCCGAGAGGGCAAAGGCTGGTGCTCTGCCGCGTGAGAAGGGGGAACGGCTGGGCTGCTGGTGCACCTCAGAGTCAGACATCGTCAGATCTCACCGACAAGAAACGGGATGGCGAGGAAGAGGATCTGCCTTCTTACTGGCGACAACTCACAGGCCCGCCTCGCCACTAGAAGAACAACACCCACCGGCATACGAATGCACGAATCTGGCCTGCCAGATCCAATTAAGTGCTCCTCTCCTCCTTCCTCCTCTCCTTCCCTTCCTTGACTCGCGCTCCTTTCCTTGCCGTCGTGCTTACTTGACTGTCTGTTCACCATCCAGCGACTGGGCAGATCACAACGGCGGGTGGATCATCTCGCTCGGTCTAATCCCACCGCCGGGCGTCCCGTTTGTTAGTTCAGTCGGCGCCATCATTGTGCAAGAGTGGTATTAGTCTAGTGGTTAGGACTTCACGTTGTGGCCGTGACACCCCAGGTTCGAATCCTGGATACCACACTTTCGCTGTGAGTGCATGCGTGTCAAGGCGTGGGGTGTCGACGGCAGGATGGATCTTTTGAGTGTCATTTGCAATCCGTTGTGATGATTGACACGTTCACACACGCATTGATCACTCAAACAGATTCTGATCACAGACCAAGCAAACAGTCCATTCCTCCACAGTCACACGGTCAGTCACGTCACATCATGTGAATGCGAACACTTTCTGTGGCGGCCCCTTGATCATCTTGCGTGCCTTGACGGGCCCACACAGCCGCTCCAGCGACATCGAGTCGGCCGCAGTGAAGTACGTCAGCACCAGCGCCTGAGAGTGGTTGCTGAGGCCGTCTATCAACTCGCAGTAGATGGCCGGCCGCTCGGGGGGTCCGAGGAAAAGCAGGTGGGCGGCGCCCGCGAGGCGATATCGGCGGTAGAAGAGCCACCGCTCCGACACCACCATCAGCTTGATGCGGCCTGGCCACACAGAGCCACACAGAGGCAGACGACAGTTGATCAGTCATTCGGGTAGTGCTTGCCTTGAGCGAAGAAGGCTCTCGCCCGCGATATGGCCCTCTTGGAAGAGTACTCGTGGCAGGCACAGAACTCGGCGTCCAGTGACCGAAGCACTTGGCGCACACTGATCGATAGACACACAGACAGACATGTGAGTCAAGTAATGTCAAGCAGTGGTGATGCGAGTGTGGGCAAGTGATCTACCTGACGAACTCGACGTATGAGGGCACCACGAGTATGAGCTGCGACAGGGTGCTGATCACCGTCGGGTAGGCCTTCTTCTCCAGCCAATGCAGCATCCTCTGCATCGACAGACACACAGAGAGGAGGGAGGAGATATCCAGTCTGTCTGTCGCTGATGCCTGTCCATCCTGCCTCAGCTGACCTCGGGCGCCTCGTTGACATCGCTGCAGGGCACCTGCTGGAACAGCTGACGCACCCCTGCACAAGCCAAGGAAAGAGAACAAAACGATACGAACGCCTCACGAGAGGATCGCATTTTGTCTTACGTACCTGTTGCTGCTGCGCGTGCGAGCGGCTGTCCGGTGGACGGCACGAGCAGCTTGACGTGGCCGCGATAGTTGCACGATGACGCCAGGAGGGCCGTCGACTCGACATTCATCCCATCACTGACAACACAGAGGACACACAAACCAGCCGCACCCGATGAATGAGATGGCCAGTCGAGCAAGCGGACGGGCAGACTGTGCTTACGACGTGACAATCATTTGGCGGTAGTTGGCTGCCCGTCCAGCCGCGTAGGAGGGGCGCAGACGGCGGATGTCGAGGTCGTGAAGGGCCTTAGGCTTCAGATTGACCGCCTGATCCACCCATGTATGCCAGCACCAGTCCGTGTGCGTGTGTGATTGTGTGGGGTGCACACACCCACACACGCCACACACGGACCTGCATGACGTGTTCGACGTGCTCCCAGCTCTGCTGTTTGAGGACGTCAGCACGGTCGATCACCACCAACTCGATGGACGACAGAAAGTCATACTCGCGAGAAGTGTCCTTCTCGCCCTGCACACACCACACACAGCCGAGAATGAATGTCGTCAGCTCGCTGCCCCCTCTCATCTCACCTGTGCGCCGGTGATGAGTCTCAGCCCCAGGGGCGAGGCGACGATCATGTCGGCCGAGTAGAAGGGGGCGTAGAGCCGCACGCCGGTCTTGAGGAACATGATGCCGAGGCGGAAACGGTCAGACTGGTTGCCCTTGAAGATGTCGATGTAGTCAGGGGGCTTGTGCCGGTCCTGACGACACAGACACAGAAAGAGGTGATGCATCCGGGCACAGACAGAGAGATTGCCATCGGCGTACCTGCCAGAATTTGCCTTCCTCGTCCCCATCCTCGGCGCTGAAGTCCTCCTCGAACCGATGCCGGTGCATCACCTGATGAAGGCAGGCACAAACCACAGGACACGGACATGCTCATCGGCACCGATGCACCGCCGTCTTCGCCTCTCCCCTCTACCCACCTGCTTCTTGTGTGGGTAAAGCTTGAGGATCGTCTCGACCACCTCCTTGGCCACACTCTTGAACGGCACCAGAATCAGCACACGTGGGCGAGTGAACCCCTGGTCGCGAAATCGGTCCTCGCCCGCCGGATCGACCGCTTCCCCGCCCCCCTTGACGGCCCTGCTCAGCGCCGCATTGTTGCGCAGGATCCCCTGCCGGCACTTGAACAGGTGGTTGGTCACGTGCAGGCAGTAGAGCTGCCGTATAGACCGGCTCGTCGTGTGGTCGTGGTTGGCATGCAGCACGTCGACATAGCCGTTCATGAAGTGGAAGAATCCCGCGTCCTGCTCGCTAAGAGTGTCGTCGGCGCCGCCAGCCGGGGTCGACAGCTGGTGGAAGCTCTCGAGTATCGGCTGGGGGATCCCATGCACAGACGAGGAGAGGGACGGGTGGGGCGGGGTCTGCATCAGCTTGGTGAGGTGGGAGGGGGGTGGGCGAGGGTATAGGAACGGGCCGAAGTGAGGTGGATGGAGACGAGTGGGCTTGTCACCCACTGCAGATGCCTGGGAGAGGTCGGATGGCGACAGCTCAGCGTCGAAGGAAGATGAGAAGTCGAGAACGGAGGCAGGCGAGGGGCCGTCTTCTTGCTCGTCATCATCGTCATCGACAGCCTCATCGTCGTCAGGCAGCGGGGCCTCCTGCAGCAGGTCCGCCTGCTCCTCGGCTTCCCGCTCGCTCGACGTGATGTCAGCCGACGGCCCCTCGTCTCCCTCATCTTCTTGCCCCTCCCCCTCCTCAGCCATGACCACGTCATATGTTGGGCTGTCATCCAAACCACCGCCCGGCTCGGCCTCGATAGTTCTCTCCCGTTTCTTGGCCTTCCTGCCTGCGTCTGTCGGTAGATGCAGGGAGGCCATCAGCGAGGCGAACGCACCAGAAGGGCCTGGGGGAGCCTCCAGCCATCTCTCGTCATCCCCTTTCTCGGCTTCATGCATCCGACTCGGCTGAGCAGCTTCGTGGTCATGGCTGCTGGGAGACTCATCCCTGCTTGCTTTCTGCTTCTTGGTCTTCTTGTCCTTGCTGATCTGCGTCTTCCTGTCCTTGTGTGCGTCCTTGATGGCCTTGGATTGATGCCACAGATCCTCGAGGTCCATCTTGTGCTTCTTGCGCCGACCTCCTCCACCTTTCCTGCCCACACCTTTGCTTCCGCCCTTCTTGCCCATCTTTAAACCTCACGCCTGTGTCGTCAGCTCGCGGAGGAAATAAACTGCTCGTCGAAATAAAGTGACTCAGGTCGCCCTTGCTCTGTGACACAGGAGTCGGCAGCTTGGAGGCAAAGGAGTCGGCCCGGAGGACAGCCACGCCCGCGGCCGAAAAAGACTCGGCAGCCGGCAAAGAGAAGCGAAGGGCAGCTGCAGCGACGTGCGGTCGAGCACTGAGCGAGGGCACAGCTGGATGATCGGGGCAGGAGGTTCACGGGAGCCTTCCCAGAAGCGCAGACACCCCAACGGCGAGGGCGAGGAGAACTTCCTCGATATCACCATCGAGCACAGCCAGCGGGTAACAGAGGAGCTCATCAAGCTGCGGAACGCCATCATAGAAAAGGATCGAGCGATGGGCGGAACAGGCGACCTCACTGCCCCCTCGGTACGCCTCCCGAGAGCTAGACACCAGGGCAGATGCTCACTGTGAGACTGTGCGTGTGTTTTGCTGTCAGGCTGAGTCGATGCGCGATGTTCTGGAGTTCAACGTGGCTGGCGAGACGGTCCGCGCCCGCCGGTCCACCCTGTGTGCGGCCAAGGGGAGTGTGCTGGCGCTGATGTTCTGTGGCAAATTTGACGCCGCCTTTATCCGAGATGAGAAGAATCGCATCTTCATTCAGTGCTACGGACCAGCCTTCAAGTGGTGAGGACGGCAAGAACGAACAGTCACGAGATGGCTGATGTGGTGTGTGTTCAGGTTGGTGGGTGAACTCATCATGTACGAAGGCGAGCAGATCGAGAACGTGGCGCTGCCGGCGTCCAAACAGAAGGATGCGGCCTTCACGTATGACGATACTAGCAAGTGTCAGGCCACACACGTCGCTTCTCTGGTTGTGCGTTTCAGGTATTGGGTCGAGCTGCTCATGTACATTCCCTCCACAAAGAGGCGCGCCAACTACACTGCACCACCCCCACCCTCACAGGGCCACAACCAACCCCAGCCGGCCCCACAACCCTATCAGCACCCACCCCCACCCGCCCACCACCAGCCGCAGCCGCAGCCGCAGCCGCAGCAGCTGCTGCAGGGGCTGGTCAATGCCATCCGCATGCTCATCCCCTTGGCGTTTGATGACATGGCCGCCCAGTTGGAGCGCCTCGAGGCCATCAGACCGCTGCTCAAGTCGGGCAACGCGGAGGAGGATTCGGTAAGCCGACGATAAAAGGGGAGAAAGGTGGCTGGGAGAAGGGGTCATTGCTCATGTGTGTCCCTCGTAATGTGTATGTCTTTTTGCTTTGCGATGTCAGTTGGTGTCGATTGACGTGTCGGGGTCTGCCGTGACGGTGACCAAGGCAGTCGCCACTTCGCTGGGTGACGACTCCACATTCGCGAATCGTTTCCTCAAGTTCGCAACGATCCGACACACTCAGCCAATTAGTTCCATATCGCTTGTGGTTCTTTGTCGTGTCAGGTATGACCCCCTGACCGTCGATGTGGCTCCAGAATACGTGCAGCGGGTGGTCAATGTGGTGGCGCGGGCATTTATGAAGCGGACGACTGTCAAAGCCCTCGATGTGCAGAGGGCGGTGGGCGAGTCCGACATCAAAGGATTCCGACACGCACTCACCATGTAGGGCATCGAGAAGACGTGGACAATTTCATTCGAGGATTGGTGTGTGTGTGTGTGTGTGTCAGGTACGGTTTGCATGACGTTCGATACATGGGTCCCGTCGACGGTCTTCTCGAGAATGAGCACCTGCAGAAGATGCGGCAGTGGTGTGAGAAGTACTCTGAGGCCCCCGCCATCCCTCCGTGTGTGGGCGAGCCGGTCATCCGCATATACAAGTGAGAAGGGCAGGCCAGACAGTCGTGAGCATCATGCCCATGTGTCTTGATGTGTGTGTGTGTCGTGGCAGGGCGACTATGGATGGCTGGAGGTGGTTGCATTTGCTCTATGCCGTCAAGGGCCACTCCCCTCTGCTGATCATCTTCAAAGTGGCCGACAGCAATGAGCTCTTCGCCAGCCTCATCGAGGGGCCCATCGAGGTCACGGGGCCGGCCGCGAGCCGCCCCGGCATCAAATCACACGCCTTCAAGCTGCAGGGCACCGAGAGCCACCCATACGTGGGCGCGCTGGGCTGGGCCGACAAGCTAAACATCGCGGGCACACAGGTGAGTTGCAGGCATGAGCAAGGCAGCCATGATAATGCGTCCTGATGTGTGTCTGTACAAGAGAAGGTCGTGGTGGAGGACATCTTTGACCCCCGGGCTCCTGAGAATCGCGAACGCGATCGTTATACCAGAGACCTGTCAGCCGTCCTGCGCGCGGCAGGCACCTTCGATTTTGGCACCCGACGAGCCGATCAATGGCAGACCGCGCCGCCAGCAAGTGACGAAACGCTCAAGAGCTGCCAGGGCAACACCACGCACAAGTGCGAGCCCGCCGACTGGCATCAGTGGGACCGCCCTAGCGTCCATTCCTGGGACTATTACTGTTCTGGCGACCACAGAGATTACCCGTTTTGGTACCCTGTGTCGATCAAGGGTTGGCAATTCGAGCTTGCCGAGCTGGAGGCATACAGGCTTGGCGGAGCGTGAGGGACAGGGAGAGGGGGGAGGGGCAAGGCAGAGAGAAATTCGTGTGCAGGGGCCGGGTGGCACTGCAGGCGGGGCATGTGCATGAAGTGTGTGGATGAGTAAGTAATGGGTGATGGATGGATGGATGCTGCCACATGTGCTGCGCTACCCCTCCGTCTGTCTGTCTGTCTGTATTAATTATGTGTTTGTGAATGGGGCAGGTGTGCTTTTAGCACTGCACTTCATATCATCACACGGCCAGGCACTGGCGCACCGCACATACCCATGCTTAGCCAAAAGACGACGACCGTGTCCGTCCGTCCGTCCATGTGTGTGGGCGGACTGAGGAGCCTTTTGTGTGCCGCAAATTCGTTTTCGCACATTGACTGCCCCATTCATAGCTTCCTTCATGGGTGTGTATGTGGTCTGTACTTCGATGGACAGAGAGGGAGGGGAGGGGAGGGGACTGTGATTTGTTGTCCCCTTTATACTTGCACATCGCTGACATCCTATACTGTGACAAAAGTAATGGCAAAGACCTCATTAGTTGGAGAGGAATCCCATCATATATGTCTTCTCAGCCGGTCGCATGCAAAGAGAAGAGCCGGCAGACGGGAAGAAAAAAACACCTGTCGCATCCTTGCGCCTCCATCCTTGACGGTACAGCAACACACATACACAGGCGGCATACTCAGTCGACAACCAGCCGCGGCCAGACGTCGTTCATCATCATCACCATCAGCTGCCAGTCGCTGCTCCATACCTTCCCCCTCCCCCTCGACCCCCTCCCCGCTGCTTACGCCCCCCTGCCTCTAGGTCGTTGTCTGTCTCCTGCTCCTCGTCTTCATCCGTAAGGTCGACGTACTCGCTGTCGTCTTCCACTAGAGACACCGATATGTCGAACGGCCACACAACCAGAAAGGCCAACTGCACGCACAGAGCATAGAGAGAGACGCAGACAGCGCCCACAGGTGCGTATCAGGCAGAGACGCACACACACACACACACACACAGGGAGGGAGAGAGAGAGAGAGAGAGAGAGAGGGGCCAACCTTCAGATGAGTGCTCGGGAACGGTATGCCGACGATGGTGATAAGCCAAAGGAGCGCCAGCAGTAAGTGGATGGCCGCCACGAGACAGCCGAAGATGCCCTTGATGACGGCAGTAGAGTAGAAGACCAGGGTGCCGCACATATCAGGGGGCACAACCACACTGTGGTACTCAATCTGCACTCCTGCACACATTTGAGAGACAGGCATGACAATGAGGGCAGCAGACAGAGGAGAAGGCGGACAGAGACACAGAGTGCTGTGTGAGTGCGATGCTGACCGAATGGTCTGAGTGATATCGTCGCCATCGCAAAACACTTCTGTCCATTCTGAAGACACCAAACAGGAAACCAGGATGCAGCCACAGGTGCATGCAGATGAGCAATGCCGCTGACCTCTCTGCCGATGATGGAAAGGTGCAGAATCATGGCTGCGATGATCCACACCGACGCAGGCAGGAACCCGCCCACCATGATCCACACCTGACGACACTGCCGAGGCCGACATCCTGCACACGACACACACCGACCAACCAACTACACATTCCATTGCAAACCCGCGACAGCTCCCTCTTCCCTGCGCCAGCGCACATACATACCGCATTGGTGTGTGAAGTCATAGTCCAAGTGCTGAATCACAAACCGCAGTGGCCGTCTCGCCACGCGCCGCACACTCCCCCTCTTGCTGCCACGCCTTGCAACGCTGGTGGCCCTCCTCCCGCCGGGATGTCGGCGAGAAGGCTTTCTTCGCCCTTCCTTTGTCCGTGGCGCCGACGGGGCCGGCGAGTGCTGTCCGCTCTCAACGTCAACAGGCGGGCTCCTGGCAGCTGGTTCCATCCTGAGGCGGCGAGACGGAGGGGGCGGTTTTGCGAGCTCGTGGGCCCGCGGTGTGATAGAGGCCACCAATTGGTGCGATTGGATTCCCCTTGCATCGGGGCCTTGCAGTGAATCATTTGTGTAGCATCCATCGGCCGTAGAGGAGAGGAGCAGCTATTGGGTGTTGCTGATTGAAGAAGGATCATGATTGATCACGACTATGAGGAGGTCATCGCCAACCAGCCCGTCGTCATTGACAACGTACATAAGGCCACGGGAGAAAGGAAAGGCACATAAACAGCTGGGCGTCCTGATGGTGTTTTGGCTGCGTGTGTGTGGCTGGCTTGTTCAGGGGTCTGGTGTGATGAAGGCGGGCTTTGCTGGCGATGACGTGCCCAAATGCGTGTTCTCAAGCTTGTAAGGCCGGCTGATGGACACTCTGAATCGGCTCACAGACAGATGCATTCATGGCCATCGCCTGTGTGTCCTTTATGTCCTTTATCATACCAACCAGTGTTGGCCGTCCGAAGCACAAGCGTGTGATGGCGGGGGCTGCCGAGGGGGATGTGTTCGTGGGGTCCAGAGCGGTGAGCGAGCGAGCGCATAGAGAAGAACAAATGCATATTGAATGTGTTATGTACCATCTACGACTGAATGTGATGTGTACCATCTGCTTGTCCGTCCGTCAGGAGGAGTTGCGAGGGCTGCTGGCGCTGAAGTACCCCATGAACCATGGTCAGTCAGTCAGTCAGTCAGTCGATGGATGGATGGATCAACTCAAATTGTGCGTGTTTCCGTGCCACGCCTGCATACACATGTGCCCCTAGGGATATGTGAGGACTGGATAGACATGGAGAACATCTGGACACACGTCTACTCGGAAATGAAAATCAACTCGGAAGAGGTACGAATGTGCTTACTCACTCATGCGGCATCCCTATCCCTGCCTGCATCCATCGTCCCTTTGTTTGTGTTTGTGTGCAGCATCCTGTGTTGCTGACGGAGGCTCCCCTGAACCCCCGCCGCAACAGGGAGAAGGCCGCCGAGATATTCTTCGAGACGTTCAACTGCCCCGCGCTCTTCGTGTCCGCCCAGGCCATACTCGCACTGTACGCCCGCTATCAATTGCAGTCAATGAACGAATCAACAAACTGCCACACACGGATAGCGGCCACAAACCTGATGTGCGTGAGTGTGTGTGTGTGTGTGCTGTCCACAGGTACGCTAGCGGCCGCACGACGGGCGTGGTGCTGGATTCAGGTGACGGCGTGACGCACTCTGTGCCGGTGTATGAGGGCTTCGCACTCTCGCATGCCGTCACCAGAATGGACCTCGCCGGCAGGTACGCCATCCATCCAGATCAGAAACACACGACAGGCGGCCCATACACTGACTGATGAATGAGGGTGTGGTGTGTGGTGTCTGCAGGGACGTGACGGAGCATTTGCAGCTGCAGCTGAGGCGGGCGGGACACGTCTTCCACACATCGGTGAGAGAGGGTATCAGCATACACACACACCACACACACACACACATCCGTCCTTTCGTCCGTCCGTCCACCGCACTCCCAGGCTGAGATGGAGGTGGTGCGTCAGATCAAGGAGAGCACGTGCTACGTCGCATTCAACCCGCAGGTGTGCACATCACCATCACAGATGCGCATACACACACGGCACCCGTCTCTTGTTGTCTTTCTGTGTGTGGTGCCATTGGCATTTCTATGCTGCAGAAAGAGGAGCACCAGGAGCACGACAAGACGTCGGCATCGTTCCCCTTCCACCTGCCCGACGGAACACAAATACTGGTCAGTCAGTCAGGCCTTGGATCATGCATGCCAACACACCATGAATGACACAAGACAGACGATAGGCGTCAACATGACTCTCTCTATCTGTGTGTGTGCGTGTGTGTGTTCAGCTGGGCCCTGAGCGCTTCCGGGCGCCCGAGATTCTGTTCCACCCCAACCAAGTGGGATTGGAATACCCTGGTGGGTCGGTCGGTCGGACGATCAGTGGGGCAGCCAGCGAGATCCGACCCGCATCCATTTGTGTATTTATGTGTGTTTGTGCGGTGTGCTGCAGGTATCCACGAGCTGCTGGTGCAGTCGATATCGCGCGCAGACCTCGACCTGAGAAAGACCCTATACTCACAGGCAACACACACACACACACACACCATACTCAGCTGGGCTGCCTGCCGTTCTTCTGCGTGTTTGCACGCGGCGCTCGTGTGTTTGTTCAGATCGTGTTGTCGGGCGGCTCCACCATGTTTGCAGGTGATCGATATGGCAAGACCGACTGACTGTTCAAACTGACCGACGCCTTTCTTTCTGTGTTCCTTGCCTTTCCTGGCATTCAGGTTTCGGCGATCGGTTGCTCAACGAGGTGCGGCGGCTCGCACCGAAGGACATCAAAATTCGCATATCGGCGCCGCCCGAGAGGAAATTCAGCACATACCTCGGTAAGCTAGCTAAGACTGGGACTGAACACACACACACGTGCTACCTGCTGTGGGCCGTTGTGTGATCAGGTGGCGCCATATTGGCTTCGCTGGCCACTTTCAAGAAGATGTGGGTGTCCAAAGAGGTCAGTCAGTGAGTGAGCAACGAACGAACCGCACACAGCACAGCACCTGGCAGGCAGGCAGGGATCATCTATCCGTATGAATGCGTGTTGTGTTGGTGTAGGAGTACGAGGAGGAGGGCCCGGGCATCCTCCACAAGAAGGCCTTCTGATGATGAGATGAGGATCGATCCCATTCATGGCTCTCCCAGTCACTCACTCGCTCACCCACTCACTCACTCACTCACTCACTCACTCGGCTCTGTGGTGTGCCCTTGCTCAAATGCTCGCCGCCTGGCTGCCTGCCTGCCTGCCTGGCTGCCCGCTTAGAGGACATACTGGTGCTGCGTGTACAGATACAGATACAGACAGCCAGACAGTGTGTTGCCTTTTGTGAAGTGAGTGAGTGAGCGTGTGTGTGTTCATACGATGGACCGACCGATTGCATCCCCCCATGTGCACTATGATGTTACTCACTGACTGACTTGCTTCTCCCGTACGTATCGACCGGTCCCCCCTGCAACATACATACATACACATCCAACATACACACAGTTTGCTGATATAGGGTTTGCGGCGGGGCGGCTACGGGGTTGGCTGGCTGGCTGGCTGGCTGGCCAGAACTACATAGCGACTTGACTTGATCGACCGACCGATTGCTCACTTGTTGGTCCAGTGCACTGCATGGCCTGGATGCGTCTGCGTGTGTGTGTGTGTGTGTGTGTTGATATGTACGTATGTGTGAATGCATAAATATGGATGGTATATATGCGGCCCTGCTGCATGAGAGAGAGAGAGAGAGAGACATCCTCTGTGCGCCTGCGTGTCTTGTCTGCGTGTGTCTGTAAAACACTCATTGAATGAAACATACACATGGCATGGCACGGCACGGCACGGCACGCAATGCAACACAGTCTGCACACACGCACACGAGGACACGCATATACTGGCAACACAGACATGTACGCGTCAATTCCCCCCCACCCACACCCCCCCTCCCCTATCCCACTGAGTGATCGATCGTTGGCGGCCGTCAAAGCGGCCCCACTCACACACCGACCCCACCCCATCCCCGGTGGGTAAGGAAGGGCATGAATGGCTCTTAAAGCAGATCGATACAAAGAAATACAACCGACGCACAACACGGATGCGCCGGTCAGTGCGACAACAAGGCAAGGCAAGGCAAGGCAAGGCAAGGGCGAGCCAGGCAGGCAGGCAGCAGGGACAAGGCAGATGTATGCTGTCGAGAACCACCCCAATCATCAGCCGATGATCGTCACACACACATACAAAGCAGAGAGAGCCAAAAGCTGTCTGTCTTGTCTGTGGACCAATCAATCGGTAGCTCTACAGCGGTGTGGCATCGAACAGACGGACGGGCGACAAGCAAAAGGAACAGAGGCAGACACCGACGTCATCTGCTCAGATCTGCACACACACAGACAGAGAGAGAAACCATCATCCGCACCACTCTGTCCTTTCATAAGTTTGTGTGTGTCCCCCTTACGTCTTCGATGTCGACTCCGTCCCCGTCGTCGTCCTCGAAGTCTACGTCGCCATACTCGTCGCCCCCGTCGTCCTCGTTGATCTTGGCGTTCTCGGGGATCTCACCGTACGTCTTCAAGTTGCGCGCCTCGTCAGGCGTGTACCTGGTGATAGGCACACAGACACACACACACACACACAGGGAGAGAGGGATGGACGCGAGAGCATGGCGTGTGTGGGGGGGGGGGG